GAGGCCTTGGGTACCTACCTGCAGCGCCGTTGCTCCAGCTTCGTCTTCGAGGTACCTGCAGCACAGCGCCAACATCACAGGTTAGTATCTGGCTCATAAAGCAGAGAGAGAGTTCTTCTTCTTCCTCTTCTCAGTCCACCATCTCCCTCTCACCCTCTCATCATCTGACTTCACTGCATCTGCAGACTACGAGAGAAGAGAGACAGAGCTTGGTGACATTGGATCCAGACTCGACTTTTGGACTTCAGACATTGCAACGAGGGATTATTTGGGACTCGTGACAAAGACTTGGTGTTGACTACATTCCCATCTCTCTCCCTCCTTTCCTCTGATCCCCTCCTCTTCGTCTGTGTATGTCTGGACCTGGCGCTTCCTTCCTGTGTACAGCGCCAGGCTCCTTCACACCTTGTGATGGATACGATGTATGTTTGGTCTGCATTCAAACATTGATTGGGCTAGTCATTAGCATTCTAGCTTTCTGCTTCGCTATCTTGCACTACGTGAATGAGGTCAGTCCTGTTCAGATCAGGACTTGTATCTAAATCTTCCACTGCGCTATTCAGCACCCTTTTTGCATGTATGAGAATGCACATTGCTTGTCGAGATTCTACTTGCACTGCATTGTCCTTGCAGTCCTTTTTATCACATTGCGGATCCTCGGTTTTCTATGTACATCGCCCAACTGGGCATGTAACAGTTGGTATCGGTGCGCCGGACGTGAATCAGGACAACCTGATCTGACACGTGTGCGGGGACTAAAGAGCTGATTAGTCTTTATTGATTGATTAGAGCACATTAGTTAGACCCCAAAATCACGATTTTGACCTTACTACCGAAAATCGGATTTTTTTTTCTTTCCTTGGATTTTGTTTTCTCGTTATTTCTGTTGTAGAAAATCGTAATATCGCAACATCTGAAATTTCCATTTTTGTTTTTTTTCTTCTGAAATTTCGAAATTTCGTTGTTAAAAATCCGGAATATCCTTCTTTTCGAAAATTTCGATTTCCTGTTGTATTTCCCGTTACTTAGAAATTTGGAATATCTTCTTTTTCGAATTTCGTTTTTTTGAAAACGGTACGGGAAGTCCCTCCTGTGGTATTATTTTCCGAACTGCGAATACTATTATCTGAGTAAATTCGAATATTGTCATTTCTTTTTGGAATTTTTTTTCGCAGTTCTAGGATTCTGTTAGTCAGTTCTATAAATCATTTGCAGTCTGAAGTCGAAATTTTTTTCTCGTTCTAATCATTTCGCACTTCAAGGGAGGTTGGGAGACCTACTGAACTTGCAGAACTCGGGATTTTATTATTTCGAATTTTTTTTTGCAAAGTTCAAACTTTTCTTTTATGATTAGTGGCTCTTTATCTGGGCGATTCTTCCCACCCACTCTCCCCACCTATGTTGTTGCCCCCTCTGGCCTTACCTTCTCTGCCCATCTCCGGGTACCCCTTGCGACGGCATTGGTGAGTTGCCACATCAGCAGGCCACGTCAGCAGACTACGTCAGCAGGACACGCCAGCAGACCACGTCAGCAGGACACGTCAGCAGGCCACGTCAACGGGCAGAGCAGGAATACCACGTCAGCAGGCCCCCGGCGTCACAGACAGCCGTCATGGACCAGAGGCCCGGTAAAGCAGACAAGGCCTATCAGGCCCGGATGCTGGCTTGGAGTACCGAGACAAAGAAACGGGCAGATGACGCAGCTGCAGCAGCGAAGAAGAAGGCGGAGGATGCCGAGCAGGCACGTCTGCTGGCACTTGAACAACAACGCCAGCATGACGAGGCAGCAGCAAGGGCTGCGGATGAAGAAACGAACCAACGTTGTGAGAAGATATTTAGCGGAGAGCAGACCTTGCTCACAATGGCAGTGGAATGGCGGACCGAGGCTGAGAATGGCAAGTTGGAGGATTGCAAAAACAAGATCGCTCTCGTCCTCTCGCATCTCACAGACCTCCTGGCTACATGCATTATGCAGTAGGAGGATATCCATAGCCTCGACGGCTCGCTAGCTAAAGTACAAGGCCGCCTTCAGCAGCTGGAGCAGCGACCTGTCGCCGCACCCGATGCAAGCTCTTCCAATACCTCCGATCGCCTCGAAGCATTGGAGATGCACGTCGGCTCCCTCCAGGACGGCGCACAGTTACAGCAGACCGCGACGCAACAGTTGCAGCAGCGGATTTGTACCACCGCCAATACCTCGAGTTCAGAGCCGCGCGAGACAACTCCAAAGTTTGACGGAGAGGAGATCTTTTGCAACTCGATCAAGACAGATCCGATGCCGTAGTTCCGCAAGTTCGAGCTCACGTTGCAGCTCCACAGCGTCAAAGAACACAAGCACCACGCATACTTGTACTCTTGCTCAGAGGGCGCATGCCAGGCGTGGTTGGACAATCTCTTGTCCAAGTACGGAGTGGTAGCTGCCGACTTGCACACCAAGGTCAGTTGGGATGATTTGAAGGGCGGCGTGGCACAAGCGGTTCCAGGTTGAGCCGCTGGAGATCAAAGCTATGGACAAGCTCATGGTCTTCGAACAAGCCACGCTGCCGAGTACCAACTGGATCGCTGAGTACCAACGCTTGACGTCAGTCCCAGACATCCAGATGGGCTTCAAAGCCATCCGCCACTACTTTATCTCAAGGTCATGTCCGGCATGAAGCAATGCCCTGACTCACGTCGAGGACACCTTGACGACGACGACGGAACTTTTTGACAAGGTCGCACAGATCATCATTACGAACAAGGAGGCAAAGAATCTGCGTTCGTCTGCGGCAGGCCCGAGCAGGGACCAGCATCGACCAAGAGTAGTCGTGGTCGCGGCGGCAACGCCGTTTGACCAAACCAGCGAGGCTGTGTCTGCCAGTGAAGGGGACAAACTCGCAGCCGCCCGGGAAGGTGGCCGCCCCGGCAGAGGCCGAGGACGTGGCAAGACGAAGACACACACCGAATCTAGCCCCGGGCCCGACGCAGCAGCTCCAGCCCCTTGGTCCCAATACGGCATCTCCGAGCAAGCCTTCAAGGCGCGCACGAGATTCCACGATTGCCTATGGTGCAACAGTGATCTGCATCAGACACCGGTTTGCCCATTGAAAGGCAAGGGCAAACAGGGAAACTGAGCACCGCCAAGAGTGACTCGACAACACTCTCGACGCCTCCGGAACCGGTTTCTTCGCGAGTAACCGGCCTTCATTCCGAGGCGCACGCGGAAGTCGATAATCCTCCTCTTCTACTTTCTTTTGAGGACTATGCTGCCCGGCTCGTTCCTACGCTGGGTACTCAAGCTCAAGGACAAGAAGTGTGTGCGGTTTCTTCTCCGTCCGGCAGCGGCGTCTTCAAGTGGTGCTTCACGGGAATCGACGAGCGAGTTCAACATAGAGGTATTGGACCCGCTCACGTTTGAGGACTTTGCATGGCTTCCTCTCCCAACCACGGGCCGCTTGCCAATGCGCAGCACTATGCGCTCATCTCCACACTTACTTATCCTTCTATGCACCACCAACTTCGCCGACGGGAGACGAAGTCGCGGTGGGGGACATCCTTGCGTATACTACCAAGGTGGCCCGCGAGTTTCGCACACAGCGGTACGATGACAACAACGCACCGCTCATGTATGTCCGCATTCAAGTTGGCAAGCGTCCTGCAGCGTTTTGCTGGATAGCGGCCCGTCTCGCAATTTCATGAGCCAATCCTTTATGCAAAGGGCTGGCCTTGGCGCACAAGTTCGGAGGAAGGCAAACCCGACGACGATCAAGTTGGCGGATGGGAAAACGCAGCAACTTCTCGACCGTTACATCGAGGCCGTACCGGTCTACTTCGCACCTCATGCATGCGAACCGGCGACATTCGATATTCTTGACACGGACTTCGACATCATTCTGGGAATGCCTTGGCTTGCAAGTGCGGATCACACGGTCAACTTCCACCGGCGGACTCTTAGCGTTCGCGACGCCTTCGGCGCGGAAGTGGCGTGTACTGTTCCTCTACCGCACTCTTCGATCCGGTGCCAAGTGGTAACGGCCAAATCATTCCGGGCGACTTGTGCCTACGAGCAGCCCGATGAGATTGGCCTTTGTTTCCTACGGACCGTCGCGGTAGCCGTCGCTTTACCCACGGACTTGTCTTCGGACCTCCGGGTGGTGCGGTTGCTGGACGAGTTTGCCGACATCTTCGAGTCACCTACCGGTGTGGTGCCGGTTCGGCCGATCTCTCACGAGATCATTCTTGAGGCCGGTGCAGTGCCGCCGAAAGGTTGCATCTATCGCATGAGCGAGGAGGAGCTCGAGGTCCTCCTCGCACAACTCGACGATTTGTTGGCTAAGAGTTGGATCCGCCCTAGCAGCTCCCCATATGGAGCACCGGTTCTCTTCGTCCGGAAGAAGAACAAGGATCTACGACTGTGTATCGACTACCGCAAGCTCAGCATGCAAACCGTCAAGAATGCGGGGCCTCTTCCTCGCATCGACGATCTTCTTGAGCGACTGGGCGACGCAAAGTATTTTTCTAAGTTGGATTTGAAATCGGGATATCATCAAATCTCGATCCGGCCGAACGATCGCTACAAGTCCGCATTCAAGACGCGGTACAGACATTTTGAGTGGGTGGTCATGCCTTTTGGCCTCACCAACACCCCGGCGACCTTTCAAGCGGCAATGACCAATGAGTTTTGTGCAATGTTGGACCGGTTCGTGCTGGTCTACTTAAACGATATTCTCGTCTATATTGGTCATTGGAGGATCATCTTGGACATCTTCGACGAGTGTTGGAGACGCTCCGCCACGCCAAGTACAAGGCCAACCGCGACAAGTGCGAATTTGTCTGGCAAGAGCTGGAATACTTGGGCCATTTTGTCACACCGGAGGGCATCAGTCCGCTATCGGACAAGATTCAAGCCATCCAAGAGTGGTCGGAGCCTCGGAGCGTCACGGATGTCCGCTCGTTCCTTGGTCTCGCCGGCTACTATCAGCGTTTCATCAAAGGCTACTCGAAGATCACGGCCCACTTGACCAAGCTTCAATGCGAGGATCGACCATTTGACTTCGGAGAGGAGGCGCGGGAATCATTTTTGGCTCTCAAAGCCGCGCTATTATCTGCGGAGGTCTTGCGGATATACGACCCGCTTTTGCCTACGCGCGTCACTACGGATGCGTCAGGCTGTGGCATTCGTGCAGTCCTTGAGCAACATGATGGTGTGGCCTGGCACCCGGTCGAGTATTTCAGCAAGAAAGTGCCCGTCGTGCATTCCATTGACGATGCGCGCAAGGAGGAGCTCCTCGCCTTCGTCCACGCGCTCAAGCGGTGGCGACACTCCCTCCTTGGTCGAAGCCAATTTCGATGGGTAATGGACAACAATCCGTTGGTCTTCTATAAGACCCAAGACACCGTCAACAGCACCATCGCTCGATGGATGGCTTTCATCGATCAGTTCGACTTTTTTCCGGATCACATTCCCGGGAAGTCGAACCGTTTTGTGGATGCTCTTTCACGGCGTTCGGATCATTGTACCGCGGTCTACTCAACCTTTGAGATCGACGATGACCTGGAGAATAGCTTCATCCGCGGCTACCAAGGCGACCCCGAGTTTCGCGACAAGTACGCGAATTGCTCCTCTCCTAATCCGGCGCCTTCTCACTACCGGATTCAAGAGGGGTACTTGCTTGTCCACACGCGGGGGAAGGACCTTCTTTGCGTATTGAGTGATCCTCACTTGCGTACACGGCTTCTTGGCGAGTTCCACGATGCTCCCGCCACCGGACACTTTGGAGTCCATCACACGATTGGCCGACTTCGCCAGCGATTTTGGTGGCCCGGTGTTACATCTTCGACGCACACGGGTCCTACCGGACCCGACTTAGGGCCGAAAGGACACATCAGGGCCTAAAGGCCCGACCTTGGGGTATTACAGGCCCTAAAGGTCTGATCTTGGACCAGTACCCGACGGGCAGGCCCAAACGGCATTATCGTTTGGRCCTGGCGGCGCTCTTGAGGCTGCCGCCCGCCGGTTGGGGCTGAACCGTCAATCTGGACGGTTCAGGGCATGGCCAGGCCTCGCAGCATTAAGGCCGGCCTCTGCCCCACCGGTATAAGTACCGGTACAGCTTCACTTGGAGGCATCGAACCACCGGCACTCTACCGGTGCGTCAGGGTCAGCGCCAGAGCGCTGTTTGATGCGCTAATTTTAGCGCAGGAGCGAGCAAGGAGCAGCAGCGGCAGCGCAGCGGCAAGCGGAGCAGCAGCAGGGCGACTGAGCCAGCACGGCGGCCATTGCCGCCTGAGGTACCTGGGAGCGGAGGACCTCTCCTCCCTCCCTCGTCAACTATCTCTCTCTCTCTCTCTCTCTCTCTCTCTCTCTCTCTCTCTCCTCCTCCTCCTTCTTCTCCTTCTTCTCCTTCTTCTTCTTCTTCTTCTTCTTCTTC